AGCTCAGCAATCAGAGCAGACTGGGCTCTGGTTTCAGACAGAGGGTGAAAAGAGGTGCTTTTTGAACATTAAAGCATGGAAACATGTCACTGTAGAAGTACAAGTTTGATATACGAGCCTTATAAATGCACATAATAGAGGCTCTTGAAGTAAAGTCCTTTTTGTCATGGCCACAGTCAATCATGTGAAGTCTAAAGGCCCGGACACAACAATCTGACTAAGAACTGACACAGACGGACCCCGACTGTTGCGTCGCCTCGCGTCTCTGCGTCTTGGCCATGTGTCACACTGAAAAGAGGCAACAACCGGAAGACAGACTGCGTGATAACCGAGAGAAGAAGAACAGACTGCGTGATAAACAAACGACAAATAGCGTGTGCGTTCCATTTTCATTCTACAACGAGAAGCTCCTGGGGCTTTCCCGAACCTGTGTCGAGAGATGGAGTTAAATGAAATCTCAGATTTGCCTTCTTAATAGTTTGTTTGGGTCCCTCCCTTCCGTTTCGCTTCTCATGCACTGATTCGCTAGCTGAACAGCAAAGGGATTCTTTTGCCGACTGCCTTTGGCCGACTGTTGAATCGGCGGGTTTTTGGCCGAAAAGGCGTTGGCCCGGCTGAAAAGACCCGACGGTGCGGGACACACCAATCTGAGTAGGGCGTGTCGACGCTCATCGTCGGCTTGACGCCTACAGATGCCCATAATCGGCCGTTTTCGTTAGTCGGACGACGAAGCGTGCCCTGTCGCCCAAACTCAATTTGGTGTGTCCCGCACCGTCGGCCGTGACATCTCTAAAGGCCCGGACACACCAATCTGACAACAAAGAACTGACACAGACGGACCCCGACAGTTCTGTCGCCTCGCGTCTCTGCGTTTTGGCCATGTGTCGCACTGGAACACACTACAAAGACTTCAGCCGACGGCCAAGACGCACGTAGGAACTGCGCATGTGTGAGTGGCAATAACTCTCCTTACCAGCAGGCGGCGGCAGTGTGTATTCGTCATTCAAAAGAGGCAACAACCGGAAGACAGAGAAACTGAGAGAAGAAGAACAGACTGCGTGATACAAACAAACAACAAATAGCGTGTGCGTTCCATCTTCACTCTACAGCGAGAAGCTCACGGGGCTTTCCCGAACCTGTGTCGAGAGCTGGAGTTCAATGAAATCTCAGATTTGCCTTCTTAATAGTTTGTTTGGGTCCCTCACTTCCGTTTTGCTTCTTATGCACTGATTCGCTAGCTGAACAGCCAATCAGTTATTTCTTTTGCCGACTGCCTTTGGCCGACTGCCCGCCGATTCAATGTTGAATTGGTGGGTTTTCGGCCGAAAAGGCGTCGGCCCGGCTGAAAAGACCCGACGGTGCGGGAGTCGACACACCAATCTGAGTAGGGCGTGTCGACGCTCATCGTCGGCCTGATGCCCACCGATGCTGATAATCGGCCTGCTGTTTCCGAGCCTTTATTTGGCCTTTCATGGCCGTGCGTCGGCCACAGGCATTCGGACAAAGAAATCACTGATTGGCTGTTCAGCTAGCAAATCAGTGCATGAGAAGCAAAACGGTTGTTTGAGAATGTCTTCCAAAAGCAACACTCCAATGGCTGATAGCTCCAGTACCGCACGAAACATGTTTTCGATGGACGAGAGTGAAAATGGAATGCACACGCTATTTATTGTTTGTTTTTATCACGCAGTCTGTCCTTCTTCTCTGTCTTCCTGTTGTTGCCTCTTTTGAATGACGAATACAAACTACCTCCGCCTGCTGGTAAGGAGAGTTATTGCCACTCACGCATGCACAGTTCGTACATGCTCGGCTGAAGTCTTTGTGGCGTGTTCCAGTGCGACACATGGCCAAGACGCAGGAGAACACGGCGACGCAACAGTCGGCGTCGGCGAGTTCTCTGGTGACTGATTGGTGTGTCAGGGCCTTTAAACGTCATAACAGTCACACCATTGATGTCTGCTGCTAGCTGCTGGATTAGATTAGCTTTACAGTAAATTATTAGATCAAGCTATTATTGTGATTGTGTGTGAGTGGCGAGTCAGGACATGTGAGGGCAAATTGAGGACACATGTTCTTATGTAATAGCACATTTGTAGGAGGAAGGATAGCCTCTGTTATTGGCCTTGCTGACAGCTGTGTTGTGTTTTGTGGATCCAGATGTGGAGTTCCTGCGCTCAGTCCTGCCCCAGGCCACAGACCCCGACTTCTTCCAGTTCCTGCAAGGCCTGGACTGCTCTGGCGTCACGCTCCGTGCCATCCCAGAGGGCACTGTGGTGTTTGCGAGGGTGAGCTGCAGCTTTTCAGGGTGCAACTGAAGGTCAAAAGTCAAATACAGGATTGTGGAGGGGGTCAGAGGGAGTAAGTTTTGCCTTATGTCAAAAACATCTGCAGGTGCCTCTGATGGAGGTGGCAGGTCCGCTCGCTGTTGTTCAACTGCTGGAGACTAGTCTATTGTGTCTGGTCAACTACGCCAGGTAAGAACGTCTCTCTAACACACACAGATAAAACAGTTGCTCCTTTTGAAATAATGTATATAAAAAATAGTAGAATAGTGAGCTTTACTCGACATATAAATAGTTATCCATTACAAACCTTTGTGTGTGTATTTGTAGGGCTGCAAACTGTGAATTACTCTAAATATTTTTTAATCCATGGGGTGTCAAACTCATTTTAGCTCATGTGCCAAATCCTAACCAATTAGAATTCAGGTGGGAAAGACCAGTAAACCATTTTTTTTATATAAACCTAGAATTAACAACACCACAAAATGTTCTTTTATTTTGTAAGAAGTAGTTTAAGTACGTTCTCTAAACGTTCACAATTAATAACCAATTAAAAAAAATGTTTATTGAACCAAATGGAAAATATATATATATTTGATACCGTTATCAAATGTTTTAATACTTTTTCTACGAGTTAAACAATTCTATAGGATTGTTAGACTTTAAATGAATAGGGATATTAATTGTTTTATAACATTTACTCAAACTGAAGACAGAGGCATATATGTATAGCATTTACACACTAAAATGAATCATATTAAAAGGAAAGTCGGTGAAGTTAAAGTGAAGCTGTTCTGTATTTCATGCTGGCTCCACCATGACACTTAAAGCAGCCTGTCTCTGCTCTGCCTGCTCTCTGTTGTCAGTCTGGTGTGCAGCAACGCGGCACGTTTCCGCCTGGCGGCCGGCCCCAAGAGGAAGCTGTTGGAACTGGGCCTCAGGAGGGCCCAGGGACCAGATGGAGGGCTCACCGCCTCACGATACACACACATTGGAGGTAGTGGTCTAAACAAATATCGATGCACTTAAGAATCGCTGTATTGATTGTGTTGCGGTAAGGTGCTTAATGCAATGAGAAATGCAAATCCCACAGTTCGCATTGGATAAAAAAGGTCCACTTACTATATAGTATGCTATTTTTGCATTTACTCGACAAAAGACAGTGTAAAGTTTTTAAAAAAAGCAACATTTTGCCTTTCTTATAGTACTGCAATATATCTAATCCTAATTCCCCTCTCATGATACATATCATATTGCCATATTCTTGTCTTTACTCTAGTAAATGTGGTATAGCCCGTCAAGCATGTCCTATTATAAATACTGTATGTCCAGGCCTTTTCCTCTGGGATGAATTACAGAAACGTACTGTCCCCATCAAAACATAGGTAGATGTAGGTGTTCTTACTGAGAGTAAGCACATGGGCCTGGATCTAATTAAAGAGTCTTCATCAGCCCCAGGAGCTGGGATCTTTTCAAAAATATGATGCAACTTCACCTTCATTATCACTGCAGGAATTTATAAGAATGTGTCACAGTGTTTCTTCAAGTTATGAGTATGTCCTCATACTTGTGGTTACAAGAGCAAACACACATGACTCAGAAAGGAGATGACTTGCAGGATTGTTTTTCTTCTTAATGTTCCATAATGAACTTAATGTGTAACCTCAGGCCTGAATGTGTTCTGAATTTGCCTCTTGGTGCTGTTTACAGACCAACAGACTGACAGGTCTTTTTTTCAGGGTTTGATTTCACCAGTAACGTTCAGGCTGGTTTCCAGTATGGGGTGCCAGTTGCAGGGACCATGGCACACTCCTACGTCACGTCCTTTACCTCCCTGGAGGAAGTCTTGCCAAAAGTGAGTATGTGTTCTCTCCTCCAATCATCATCAAGGACCATGCCAGGAGGTTTGTAGGTTCATCCATTCCAGGAAAGGTTTGTCCACAGAGAGCAATAAGCTGTCTACTATACATACATTGTAGGTGGTGTAATATGCACTTTAGATATATATATATATATATATATATATATATATATAATTATAATTAAAAGGTTAGTCTCTGGCATATTGTTTATTAGTCATCATTTAATTTACAATAATTAAAAAACAGCTGTAAAAGTGGCAGTGTGTGGGGTTAAGTGGCATCTTGACTCTGGGGCTGATCAGTGATGCTGCAGTACCTCTGATGGCCACATGAGGCTGACTCCCAAAAGGAGTCAATCTCCATATCCCATATATCCCCATTATAAAAGCCCAACTTTATGGCAGGCATAAACTTGTTTAAAGACACGTACAAAAAACTGGTTTCCAAATTAATAACAATTCTCCCCTTATGTTACCTGAATTTTTAATCAGGTAACATAAAAACACATGGTTCTTGGTTCCCTAAATCCTACACACTCAACATTTTTAAATAAAGACAAAAACAATCACACATTTAAAATTACACTAATTTAAGATGTGAAAACTCTTTAAATTATAAAGAAATTACATATATTGGAAGAAATATAACATTTTATCACAGTGGCAAGCTGTTAAATCTTGATGATGCATCATGCTGTCATTGGTCTCCAAGGGGAGTCAACAGTGAAAAGGCCAGCAAATATCAATATTCAAATGTCCTTGTCTCATGTTTCGTCTCAGACTCTTGTTGCGGTGAACGGGGACTCCACTCCAGTGGATATCATTTTGTTGACAAAGGGCTGGTTGAGTCGTGTGTGTGAGCTCCTGGGATCGCAGCCTGGGAAGATCCACGAGGGCGAGTTGGCGGCCTTTTTGTCCTACGCCATCGCCTACCCTCAGAACTTCCTCCCTGTGATTGACAGCTTCAGCGTCGGCTGGTAACTACACATGTTACTTTTGATACTAGAGAGATATGTATGAAGGCTTTTATCGTTTGATTTCTGACAAACAACATATACTTTTCTGTAGGTTTACATAGTAATTGAGTATAAACCCGTGTCCCATGAGCACTTATATTGCCTGAACCTTTGATTCATCGAGGCCATCTTTGTCTTCCTGTCATTTAATTAAAAAAAAGAAGTCCTTTCTTTCAAAGTCCAAAGAAATTCACAGTTACTATTTGTTGCACAATTGTGAATAATAATTCTAAATGCAGGTTTTTTTACTCCAATGGTGTATTTTACATTGTGATAATGGTTATTTTACTTTAAAGTGGACCTATCATGCTATATTTGAATAATATAGTGTAGGACCATACCTATATAAGGCATATTTATACTTTTTATTTTTCAAAATACCAAACAGATCATGCATTTTAGCCATTCCTCATTTCGCTCAATTTAACACTGTCTTTGCATGGGCTGATTCTGTGAGAACAGCACCATCTACAGTATCTATGTACTACAGCGTCTCCAGCGCTTTCCAACGGCAATGTCCGTGGCTGTCTCCTCCTGATTGGTGGAGTTGGCCCAATAGCCGTAGCGCCACTTCTGTGACTTCACAGAAATGTTCAAATCTGGATCAGTCTGTATCAGATCTGTTGCAGCCCCTTTTTAAGAGATTTGGGTATGGAGGAAAATAGAGAGGGTTCTGTTTTCTGACACTTGGTGAGTTCCCTGGAACACCGGGGACACATATTCATGTGTAAAAGACGTACAAAAGTGCATTTTGCATGATAGGTCACCTTTAAAGGATCAGA